CGGCTTTTAGTGGCGCCTCCTCCGAATATTTCTTCAAAAAATGCGAGGACAAATGAAAGCGGTAAAAGGTTTATGTCAGTTGGCTGCTTCTCAGAAGAATTTGTGCAGCATCAAGAAAACAAGAACACATTAAGAAAAAACAGATGTTTCGTTGTTGAAAAAGATGTTAGTTTCAAGGAACGAGCCGAGAGAGTTGGAGAACATTGATGCAAGAAATCTCGACGTGTTAATCGCCAATACGGCATTTGATAAAACATGGACTGGACTGGATTGGTAAAATATGGAATGGATTAATAAAACATGGATTAAAAAAACATAGATTAAACATTAAAAATAAGCGACGGACATCACACGACTCCTGCACTTAGTCGTATTGGAAGTTATGTGGCCTTCAGAGCTTCGCTCTAACTAGTAGGTCCTTAAGAGATTTTCCCTTGCGATAAGATACGAGGGCAGGCTCCTTGAAGATTTCTCTTAGTCGTTGCTGGTTTTGTATAAGATGCCATTTCCCCATAAGTATTCTCTTCAGGCTAGGTAAAGCCGGATGGTATTGTGTAACAAAAGGTAGAATTTTTTTGCGTGCGTATTTGTTTCTCTGTTGTAGGGCTGTTTTCCTGTCGGCAAATTCTACCTCAGAGAGGTACTTTCTTAAAGTAGCGGCAGGGTAGCCTCTTTCTAACAGGCGGTTTGAAAATTTCTGATATTCCTCTCAAATGTGATCTGAGAGGAATTAGTCCTTAGAAGCCTGAGCGCTTCTCCTTTAATGAAGCCTTTCTTCACGCCTGTTGGGTGACCCGAGTAGAAGTCCGTGTACTGGAATGTTTCTGTTGGTTTGTAAATAAAAATGTGTTTGCACGTCTAGGATTGATTCCTTGTCGAATCTAACCCCTTTGTACGCCTTTGTGTCCAAGGACATGATCTCTGTTTATGACATCTCAGCGGTGAATTTTATCGTAGAGTGAAAGTTTTTTGTCTTTTCCACAAAGCTCTCTATTTTTTCTAGACTCGTGTTCCATAGCGAAAACACATCGTCAATATACCTTTTCCAAATATCGGCTTGATGCAACTCTGACTCAATATTCGTTTTTCTATTCTGGCCATGAAGATGTTTGCAAAAGCAAACGGCCATCTTTGTTCCCATGGCTGTTCCATGGATTTGTAGGTAGTTGCTACCGCAAAATTGGAAAGAGTTTTCTGTTAATATAAGAAAGAGCACTTGAAATCTTTGTATGCTTGACATTCGGTGGTTACGCCCTCTTCGTACGGTATGTTGGTGTAGAGACTAGTAAGATAGTAACGTCCATAGAGACTGGGACTGTATTTTTAGGCAATTTTGTACTTTCAATTAAAATTCAGGAAGTTTTTTATCTTTTAGATAGGAGTCTTGTTTCTGCGCTGTTGGCTGAATGAGTCGATCTACAAATGCAGGTATCCGCTCGGTGGGGCCATCGCACCCTGATATTATAGGCGCGATACTTCGCCCGCACTGGTCAAAAGACAACATCAATTTTGACAGTTTGAATAATTAATGAAACTGTCTATTTTATACGAAATACTTTTGTTGTTGGCAAACAAAAGTGACCCTTTTGAGAAAAAGTAAGATAAAATATAACTGGCCCTATTTCATTTCATTTCCGACCCGAAATATTGCGTGACAGAAAGCAGGAGCCACTCGAACGTCGTGCTACTGCCGTGCCGAACTCAACTGATCGAATTAAATTCGACTTTAGCACGGCAGTACCGTGACGTTTGAAATCAAGTCGAACTACTGCCGGGTAGCACGGCAAGGCAAGGCTTGCCGTGCTACACGGCAGTAGCACGACTTGGTTTCGAACGTTGTGCTACCGCCGTGCCGAACTCAATTCATAAATTATAAATACAATTGAATACACTAAAAATTTTGCTAAATTGTTTCTTTATTTTTGTGTTTTATTTTCCGCAACAACCGTTCTATTCGACTGAATTAAATTCGACGTCTGAAACCAAGTTGTGCTAGTGTCGTGTTGCAGTCGAGCTACAGTCGAGCCAGCTTAGCACGGCAGTAGCACGACGTTTGAAACAGGCCTTACTTGGTCATAAATCCTTGTTATATCACTCCATGTTTTATCGATGCCGAACAATACGTGCCCACATCGCTGAGGTCTTTTGTTTCAAGCTTGTAAGTGCATTTTCTGCTCAGCACTTTATTTCGATGGGAACTTACTGTGCTGTGAGATTTGCCATTCCTATTAAATTTGCATTTGGTTCAAATATTTGCGATCTGCTTTTTCTAGTTCAGTGAAAATTCTCTTTATATGTGTAATAAACAGCTCACGTCATAAAAAGCTCTTTTTACGGGGTTGTATTAATTCGTTGGTTTGTATCAAAAGACCCTCACTCGCTCAGTCGGATTTTGACACAAACAGCTCGTGAAAATTACCCCGTACGCCGCACTTTCTATGACGTAAACCATGTATACAGAATAGGCCTTTCGGGTTTCTTTTTTATCCTAAGCAGGGCCGGGGTTACCAGCCCTGCATGACTTCTCTATGGGCGATCTCCAGCCCCAGGGAAAACCTCACTTTGGCAAATGAAAAATTTTATTTATGAACAAAGCGTCTATTTTAACTCCTTAAGAGAAGTGACTTTTACTTACCCATGGACAATTAAGATTGGGTATTCCCAAGTTGTAGTAATAGTAGTACCATGGATAATAAACGTAGGGACATAAGTTTTCCCAGGTTACAACCAAAACCCATTTGGCTTGAAAGTTTGAGAATGCTGTTCCACCAAACTGTTGAACATGCTTCGAGGCTCTGTCCAGAATTCTTGTAGGATCAGTGTCTTGACTGTACACGTGATAATACACTTTTGAATATTTAGCTTTAAAAGCAAAATACTCGTCCGTGAGAGCCCAAAATGGAGCGATGATTGCATAATTTCGAAACCATCTATACACACCGAACTTTTGAGGCCACCAAAAACTCCACTCATAATTTAGTTGTATTTTTCCATTGCGGCATATCTGCAAAGTAAATTTGATAAATGTACTTTGAATTGGAAGTTGTGATAGCCAAAGTTCGATTGTTTGTCGAGTTTACGGGAAAAGGCAAGAAGCAAAAGTACCTGAAAACCTTTGGATTCCCGAAATTATATATATATATATATATATATATGATATTTACTAGCCACATAAAAATGAAAAAAAAAAAAACAACAACAACAACATGATTTCCAATAGATAATTGGGTGTCTGTCAGACAAAATGGTTAACACGCAGTTCGAAAACACTAAACAGAAAAGAAGATATCACAAGGGTCCACTGCTACTGCTGTTTTCGAACAGCAGATGGGGAATCTTTAAAACTTCCTTGGTGCAGTTTACATATCAAGGGATCATACGTACATGTAATTTGTAATGCCTCTTGCTGAAAAATGGAAATCCAAAGCGATCTACTTTGAGTTCTAAGCAGTGGTAATAGTAGTAATAGTAGGAGTCGCCAAGACGAAACTCGCTATCACCGTTGTCCAAACCATAGGGATACATGTTGCTCTCGGCTGAAAACAAAAATTGTACTTATACACTGAAACATTAAGTTATGTAGCTCAAATTACGATATATATCTCTCTATATATATATCTGTCTAGATTTGCTAAAACGTGGCTAAAGAAATTTCAAGTGCTTATTTTAACAATTTGATATCTAAGTCGAAACGTTACTAGCTGAGTGAAACGTCCAGAAACTATAACCTTTTAGTCAGTCAAACCATAAGGCCCAGAGCTAAGTGTCTGCCGAAAACAGATTAAGACTCCACGATCTTTGAGCACAGAATAGTCTTTCTAAGACAAAATTAGCAAAACTAAACACTCACGAAGCGTTTTTATGCTTGGCACAAAGTCTTCTGGTAACACGAGCTCAACCACATTTTTTCACCTGAGTTTTGTCTGTCAACGCCCTCGGTAGATCACAATAAATGACCTTCGCGGCAATTACAATCTTTGAGCACAGAATAGGCTTTCTAAGACAAAATCACCTAAACTAAAGACTCGCGAATCGATCACGAAGTGTTATATTAAATGCTTGGTACAAAGTATTATGGTAACACGAGCTCAACAACATACCTGAGTTTTGTATGTCAACGCCTTCGGCAAATGACAAAATAAATCACTTAGCTCTCGGAGCAATGATAACACCCTTGAAAAACACTGATAATATTCCGTCGTAATATTTTCGTCAAATGACTCAGAAAAACTCTAGCTTTAATGGTCTCATCATAAAACACACGAGTACACTCACACAGTCGATTTCTACGAGATCCCGGATGTACCCCAGGTTTTTAAAAAGGACAGATGAAGGGCCCGCCTATAAAACAGTTTGTAACTAAGTCTCTGGCCTGGTGAGAAATCAGCTCAACTTTTCTCTCTCCGAATATACTTGACTCGTAGAACCTACTTTCTGCAGAGGCCAGAGACTCGTCACCACCCGGAACAAAGCTCTCAATATCGATACCTTTCCGTCTCGAGCCCGAGATCAGTGTTTCACCCGTATAGCTAAATGATGCGAAATGCGGTAAGATATTGAACGAGGACGACTTTGCCAATCGTGAGACTTTTTACTTCATGATAAGATAACGCTTAATGATTCCTTCTGGAAAACTTTGCTCCAGGTAGCTAAGAAGAAATCTAGAAAATTAAGTCAGAATGTTGGGAAAATTAAAATCAGGATGTTGGAAAAAAATCCTGCAGGTATCTTTTTGCAAATTCCGACAAATGTATCATTGAAAGGTTTAGTTTGATCAGACTTACTGTTGGAGCAGTTCTTCCCTACAAAGCCAGGAACGCATGAGCAATTGTAGTCATTCACTTTGTCAATGCATGTTCCACCGTTAAGACACGGGTTTGGATAACAGTCGTCAGTGTCTAAGGAGAAACAGAGATTTCAAAACCATTAAGGTGATAAGTGCACGTAAATCTTACAAACTGATATGGATACTGAGATTCAGTGATATTTTTAAACTTACTATTAGAGCAGTTCTTCCCTACAAAACCAGGCACGCATGTGCAATTGTAGTCATTGACTCCGTCTATGCAAGTCCCATTGTTAAGACACGGGTTTGGATAACAGTCATCAGTGTCTGAAGAAAAAAAAGGACATGGTAAGGATTGACGACAATAAAATATCTAAATCTATACATGGAAAGGGGAGGGGATTCAGTTTTTCATTTTTTTTTTCACATTGGCACTCCAGAAGCGAAATTTTTTGGTAACCAATCTTGTAAGTAATGGCCAAGGCATATGTATTGATTTGCCTTTTTCTGTGTATAGAGGGATAGTTTTTTTTAAGTTGAAAAAGTGGTAAGGAAACTTCATACCTGTAATTTATGCAAAATTACTTTTCCAGAAGGAACGACCGAGGTAGTGCGCAGGTTTACTTGGAATATGATTACCATTCTCTGTTCACAAATCCGTTAATCTCAATACTAAGACTTGATTTTGAAAGACTTACTATTTGAGCAGTTCTTCCCTACAAAGCCAGGCACGCATGTGCAGTTGTAGTCATTCACTCCGTCTGTACATGTTCCGTTGTTTAGACACGGCTTTGGATAACAGTCATCAGTGTCTGAGGGAAAAGTAAAAATAAACTGATAGACTTGGTGACAATCAAAGAGTATAAAATGCAGCAATTGACAAGAATTATCTTTTGCATGAAGCGATTTACATTCTTTATTGGTGAAGCGCAAGACACTTCCTGTCGTAACTGAGATGGTTTTCCAGATAAGTAATGAACCAATCAGATGAATTGAGTCGCATTTTCCCCCATGGATAAAGGGTGTTTCCTCTTCTTTTATGGAAAGAGCTTTTTTGGAGAAAGGAATGTGAATGTGCCTAGTACACTTGGCATACGATCATGTCTCCAGTTGAGCTAAAATGTCTGTCTGGATTTGCAAAAAGACACCTACAAAAATTTCCGATTGACCTGCACCCATCCAAACCTCTCATTTCATTGGTCCCTATAACCTGCACTACCTATTGTTTTCAGGGATAGGGGTATTGTTATGTCACCATCCCTATTGTTTTCCCAGCGAATCACAAAACGTTTTTGGAATAGGTGAAGGTCCGCCCGAAATTTCAAGTGCTTTTTAATGATTAGATCCTTGAGGCGAATGAAAAGTAGATGAAAGTCTTTAGTTAGGGCTTAAAACCGCAACTTTATTGCTGGAAACACACGGAGAATTGCTCTTGGCGAAAGCTACAGAATTTTGCAATGAATTCATTAACAACATTTGTAAAGCACAGAAAATATGGCCTTCCAGTCGCTCATAGCAAGATGCCGGACGAGACAGAAAGAGGATCCACCCTCTTTGAGCCCTGAATTGGTTTTCAAAGACAAAATCATCTAAACTAAACAGTCTCGAAGCATTTCTATGCTTAGCCCAAGTATTCCCAAATTCTACACGGGCAAAAATATCGCCAAATGACTCAGGAAAACTCTCGCCTTCTCCACATAAAACATAGGTAAACATTTCTCACGCAGTCGATTTATTCGAGATCCTGGATGTACCCCCAGCGTTTTTAAAAAGTGCAGATGAAGGGCCCGCCTTTAAAAGGATTTTTTAACTTAGTAGTCTCCTGCCTGGTCAGAAATCAGCATCAACTTTGCTCTTTCCGAATAAACTTGACCCTTAGAATGCATTTTTCACTCTTATTCCAAGTAATTATCCCTACTTGTTTTCTGTTTCACACCTACCGCACCCACTATTGTGTATCCTGATTAAAGACTATTCTGATTGGTCTCTTTTAGTATATACACGCCCTACTGTTCTCTAAGAGTCATTCACGCTCGCGGTCCACTCAGTTTATTCATCTCTCTTAGTCTTTGCTCCACCCCACTCATTTTTATGATTTATTTTTCCTTAATACACTGTTTTGTTTACGTGGTACTGTACCACAAATGGCCGTTAATTTACGCGGCTCTGACCAAGACAATATTGAAGGGCTAACCTATGTGGCCCTTCCCCGAATAATGAGTCTTATATTCTTGTGGCACTGGCCCAGCAACGAGCTGTTAACGCAGTTTTTAAACGGGATGGGTTTATTGATAGTGAGCTTTTGTTTGGCCTGCGAAAACATCCGTTTCTCTTCGTTCTTCGCCGCAGGGGACGTTTCGCTCGGAGGAACGTCTGCGACTCAGCGACAGAAATTCCATACTGATGACGCAAATCAATGTTTACATAAAAAATCCGGTAGCCGTGGGGTTCCAAATATGAATTTGTCTAATTTTACGTGTCTTCTGGTCGATTTGGTAAAGTGTTGTGTTCATCTGCCAACGAGTTCCAACAAAACTCTAATGCTTCTTCTTGAGAAAACTATATTCCATATATATTGACTGTTTTGTTAGAGATTCTTCGCGTTTATATTTAACCTCTGTGCCCTTTTGTTTTTTGTCTGTCATTCGTAAACAATAGCTGAACAATGTATCTACTCCGTCGACCAATCAGCGCTTCTGACCTGATTCCGGACAGTTTTTGCGTCATCAGTATGGAATTTCTGTCGCTGAGTCGTAGACGTTCACCCACGCGAAACGAGGAGCGAGGAGAGACGGATGTTTTCGCTGGCTAGCTTTTGTTATATGTGGTAGTGTGAATATAGATGCGTGTGCACGCGTGTGTGTGTGTCTTTGTGTCTTTTTTCTCTCTTTTTTTCTTTTTTCGTAATTTCTATTTTGTATCAAAACGTAAGAAATTCTTTAAGAAAAAATTTTAAAAAGAGTGTGGCACTGGCCTTTAAATCCAGCTGTTATTGCGTTCGAGGTACGAGAACGCAACTCCTAATTTATGTTGGGTGTTCTGTGCTATTAGTTAGCAAGGTTTTTTGAGATTGCATTTGTGGCCACACACATTTGCCTCACTCTGAGGCGCTTGCTTACGTTTTGCCTCACTTTGACGAACTAACTCACATGGTGATTCGTGTGTCCTCGGCGTTCATCTTTCAAACGTTTGCTGAGCCGGTCTGCAATTCCTATCTTCGTAAAGCGTTTATCTTTTAAAAGTTTGCTGAATCTTCGTAAAGCGTACATATTTCAAGAGTTTGCTGAAGGTCTACTATCGATCTGTGTTTGCTTCAAACGTTTGCTGAGCCGGTCTGCAATTCCTATCTTCGTAAAGCGTTTATCTTTTAAAAGTTTGCTGAATCTTCGTAAAGCGTACATATTTCAAGAGTTTGCTGAAGGTCTACTATCGATCTGTGTTTGCCGAATCTTCCGAAGCGTCCATCTTTCCGGCAAAAGTTTCAGCGGTCGTTGTGCCCCAAAGTATAATAAATTTACCGAGATGTGAAGCTCGGCGGCACCATTTCATCATGACCTGAAATAGTTTCGGCACCAGACAAACGAACATTTTAGGTCTATGTTATTTATTCGGAAAAACCTGTAAACAGACCAGTGTCAGTAGCTCCACTCAAGTAACTGAAATCAACACAATCGACCAAATTACTGTACTTGTTGAGACGAACCATAAGATATCACTAGCCTTTTTCATAATGATACACAGTCTTTAGAGGTTTCACTGTAAGCAATCCTTACGTTTAAAATATGCCATGATCAAATTAATCTATAGCAATAACCATTCACCCTTCCCCCTCAACTGCTACCTGTACGCCTAACAAACATATCGAACGCACTCTCCTAAGCTCCGATTACTCCTAGTTTAATTCGTATGGTACTGGCTGAATACCAAGTTGCTTATTTATAGGCACTGGCCCAATGAGCTGTTGCTTCTGATGTGGCTCCGGCCTAAATATTAATATGAAAGTGGCGCTAGCCATATAATGATGTACTCTAGAACGGATATTTGTGTTGTTCTTTTATCGTTTAAATTTTATTCTTAATTTAAATTTGTCTAGTAAATCATGGCGAGGGTTTCAGCAGTTTTTTTCGGTGAGCATTCATCAGGTTTTAGAAATGATGTTAAAGTCCAGGGCAGATTCAACGGTTAAGTCTTATATTCGTGCTACTAGAAAATTTATGGACTGGTGTAAAATTAAATTAATAGATATTCAGCTACCCTTTTCAGTAAGTGTGATATCTTAAGAGACACTTTGGCTTTGGCTACAACCCTAACGATTATGGCCTTCATAGTCTAAGAGCCGGCGGCATTACATTCGCGGTGCATCAAAGCAGCAACTCGAATTCAGAAAACCTACTTATCGATACTTAAAAATGCACGGAGGTTGGAAATCCAACTCCGCTGAGGCGGGGGGGTCTGAATGTGAGGGCTCAACTTGTCGGATGTCGGTTATTATACAGTTATTTTGCCGGTCGGTAGTAGGTTAAAATTTTCGATCTTTGTCGGTTGTCGGTAAATCTCAGTTAATAAGTAAAAATGAATGTTAATTTAATATTTGCTGTGTATTTCACTCATTTCAAGACTGATAGTTACAACACGTGAAAAAATTGTAAAAAATGCATCATTTGATTGACCTTAAACTTCATATTATATAAAATCACCAAAGTTTTTATTGCAACTGATGCGAACTTGGTTTCTACGTTGATTACTAGGCAGTATAGAAGGGTATACTCATGCCCTCCAAGATGGCGGCCAAAACAACTTTTTGCTTATATCTTGTTAAACGTTTGATAGTTACGCTAAGATGTGCTGTAAACATTACCACATCTTTTTTCAACATTTTCCTTGAAGTTTAAGAGCAAAATTTGCGTTCAGAAAGGGGTAATTCATAATTATTTTTAAAAATCACCTTTTGGTCACGTGACCGGCTACGAACTTACTCATTTTTCATCACTATTATTTTGTTTAAGATATGACCCACTAATTGTTTTGGGAAGGCAAAATCTTATATGTCACATGACCTCTTAGTGCAAATGGCCTTTAATGGACCAAGACGCAGGTGTAAAAAAACTCGTCTTGATTTCCCAAGAAGCTCATAGATTCTGTGGCATTTTACCCATGAGAAAAAAATAAACCACTTACCTACAGAGGAAGACGTACTAATGGAGAAAGAAGAGCTTTTCGATGGACTTATCGACAAGGAAGCACTTTCACTGAACGATCTTGATAGGCTAGTAGACAGGGTTGTCCAAAAGGATGTGCTAACGGTTTGGCTCTGAGAAATTGAGCTCAAGGACGACGTCACTGTTGGAGATGTGGAAATGCTCGGGGACTCGCTGGTTGAAGCACTGTAGCTTGAGGATGGTGAAACGCTTTGAGAGTAGCTGCTTGAGGGACTGTAGCTTGTTGATGTGGAAATGCTCGGGGACTCGCTGGTTGAGGCGCTGTACCTTAAAGGTGGTAAAACGCTTTGAAAGTAGCTGCTTGAAGGACTGTAGCTTGTTGATGTGGAAATGCTCGGGGACTCGCTGGTTGAGGCGCTGTACCTTAAAGGTGGTAAAACGCTTTGAAAGTAGCTGCTTGAAGGACTGTAGCTTGTTGATGTGGAAATGCTCGGGGACTCGCTGGTTGAGGCGCTGTACCTTAAAGGTGGTAAAACGCTTTGAAAGTAGCTGCTTGAAGGACTGTAGCTTGTTGATGTGGAAATGCTCGGGGACTCGCTGGTTGAGGCGCTGTACCTTAAAGGTGGTAAAACGCTTTGAAAGTAGCTGCTTGAAGGACTGTAGCTTGTTGATGTGGAAATGCTCGGGGACTCGCTGGTTGAGGCGCTGTACCTTAAAGGTGGTAAAACGCTTTGAAAGTAGCTGCTTGAAGGACTGTAGCTTGTTGATGTGGAAATGCTCGGGGACTCGCTGGTTGAGGCGCTGTACCTTAAAGGTGGTAAAACGCTTTGAAAGTAGCTGCTTGAAGGACTGTAGCTTGTTGATGTGGAAATGCTCGGGGACTCGCTGGTTGAGGCGCTGTACCTTAAAGGTGGTAAAACGCTTTGAAAGTAGCTGCTTGAAGGACTGTAGCTTGTTGATGTGGAAATGCTCGGGGACTCGCTGGTTGAGGCGCTGTACCTTAAAGGTGGTAAAACGCTTTGAAAGTAGCTGCTTGAAGGACTGTAGCTTGTTGATGTGGAAATGCTCGGGGACACGCTGGTTGAAGCACTGTAGCTTGAGGATGGTGAGACGCTTTGAGAGTAGCTGCTTGAAGGACTGTAGCTTGTTGATGTGGAAATGCTCGGGGACTCGCTGGTTGAGGCGCTGTACCTTAAAGGTGGTAAAACGCTTTGAGAGTAACTGTTTGAAGGAGTGTAACGTGTGGACGGCGAAACGCTTTGAGACTCACTGTTTGACGTAGTGTAGCACGCGCACAGAGAAAGACTTTGAGACTCGCTCGTTGACGCACTGTAGCTTGTGGATGATGAAACGCTTGGAGAGTAGTTGCTTGAAGCACTGTAGCTTGCTGATGTTGAAAAGCTTGGAGACTCACTTGTTGAAGTGCTGTAACACGTGCATAGAGAAACACTTTGAGACTCACTGGTTGAAGCACTGTGGCTTGTTTGAGGCTCCACGATCCCACCGGTTGAAGCACTGTAGCACTTGCATAGAGAAAGACTTTGAGAGTAACTGGCT